AGCCTTATAAAATAATTTATGAAATACCTAAATTAGTGCACGTTGTTACAAGGTTATATTGTGTAGAATTTTATGAACTCTCACAGAGATCATGCTAGATTATTTTTACTCTATATAAGGTACAGTAGCATAGAATTCCCAAGACTGTGCGAGAATTCTCCAGAATACGTGCAACCTTTTTTTTGTCTCGTATCTAGTGTATACGTTACATTGTAAATTAATTATGCTATTAACTACTTCGCTTCCATTCTGTTCCGCGACAATGCAAATTGAGCCTGACGGTGCTTTTCCACCGGCGAGGCGAGACGAGGATTGATTGAGGATTGATTTGTCAGGCAAAATTTCAGTTCTCCCTAGCATTAAAGATGGTCTGGGTTGACGAGGATGTGTGAAGTAAGAATTGAAATATTTATCGATGTAATATTGAACCGTATTGCTGCCAACATGGAGTTACTCTGCAACGGCAACACGATTTCTCGCGCGAGCTCGCGATGGCTATTCCTATCAATCTCGAGAGCGTAAGATACGGTACCATTTGAGATTTAAATGAAAGAATAAGAGAAAAATAAAATAAATGAAATGAAATGAAAATGAACTGAAATAACGTTTATTGCATGATATAAATGAAGAATCAGATGAAGAATAGCTTTATCTGACTCTTCTCCCATTAACAGTTTTAATAATAAATAATTTGCAGAACTGAACAGCACTGAAGCATCATCACGGTGTGAGGTGAGCTTGGTTGTGAACCGCCAACAGGGAGCAATAATAATAGATTACGTTCCACATGAATTTATTGTATAAAGGTGAAGAAAGGAAAAAAGGCTGTAACAATAAAAAACAGGTGCAGTATTAAAAAACACTCCCTGCTTAAATACTACAAAACGTGTGTACAGTAAATAAAATACGTAGGTACCCCGAGCGGATAACATTTTTACAAATACTAGTTAGGTTACTTGATTTTAAAGATAGGTTACAAGATTTAAATCGGAAGCTAGTAAACAGATCAAAATTAGTGCTGAAGACGAGCAGGAGTGCTCGCTTTAGACATTGAGTTACGACGGAACGAAACAATGTGAGAATGACGAGGCAAAGGAATTAAAGAACGGGTCAAAATTTTGAAAATAAGTGGCCAGGAACAGGAAAGGTGATAAAAAGGTGTAAAGTATGGAGAAGATCGCATCATCGCAAAATTCAATATTTCTTTAAATCAAGTTCAAAGTATTGATAACAGTTATAAATAACTTACCAGCCGTGGCAGCGTGGTGGTTTGACATACCTACCGCCTCTCAAGTAAATACCGTGGGTTCGAATCCGGTCTCGCGCCTCTGAATCTGTTCGAATCCGGTTCACGTACGAAATTTTATTTGAAGTTAGCTTTTCGGTGAATGAAAACATCGTCATGAAACCTACGCAACTAAGTAGGTTCACAACCACAGAAATCTAAATAACTTACATATATGTATACTAAAAGATTTCTGTGTTCACAACCCTTTTTTTTTTTTTTTTTTTTGACGGGGGGGGAAATCTTTTTTTTTTTGACGGGGGGGAAATCTTTATGGATACCCCTGAGCCCAGGGAGACTCAGGGGTTATGTGGGGACTCTCCCTCCAGACTTGAGGGCCTACCCCACTAAAACCCCCCCGGGTTTCCCTCTCGCCGGTTGAGTCGGCGCCGTGGGATCAGTGAACATTCACCACGACGCCGCCCGGCCGCCCTAGCTTACGCCAGGGCTCCCGCGCCAACGGAGGGGCGAGTCGGTTGTCCTCCGACCCGCCCCCCAGACGAGTGAGGCCGTGCAGTGCAGGCTCCGGAGTCCCTGTCCAGAGCCCGCTGGTCTCACTAGGGGATCAGGCGAGCAGCGAACTGCCTTCGCCTTCTCCCCGTACGTCTGCGCCGGAGCGGGTGCGCGTCCGCCGCGTCCTCGCGCACCCGCTCCGCGGCCTCCTTTTGCGACATAACCTCTGCGCAAAAGGAGGCCACCGCCTCCCAGGACTCCTCGCTATCGAGCATGGCGGCAACCACGCTCGGCAGCGAGAGGTCCTGCCCTACAGTCCCCGTCAGAGTGCGGCGCTGCTCATCCCACCGGCTACACACCTCTAGGGTGTGCTGCGCGGTGTCATCCGCAGCGCCGCACTCGTGGCACGACGGGGACGGTTCCCTCCTCGCCACCTTGTGCAGGTAGTGACCGAAGCAGCCGTGCCCGGTCAGCACCTGCACAAGGTGGTACGACAGTGGCCCGTGGGACCGGTTTACCCACTCTACGAGGACAGGGCGGATCGCCTCTATGGTACGAGCGCCATAGGGGGGATCCGCCAAGCCCTCTTTCCACCGGTCCCGCATGCGCTGCGCCGCGAGGCGGCGCTCCCGCTCCACCTCTTGGGGAGCGGGTCGCTCGCCTCGGTCCCTCATTCCCCGCCGGTAGGTGCGGACCGCCGCCAGGACCTCTGCTTCGAGGTCCCACGGCGGAGTACCGGCGAGGACGCATGCGGCAGCGCAGGCCACCGTCATGTACGCCCTGCACATTCGCAGGGCGACCACCCTCTGGGGCCTCCTCAGCAGCGACTTCGTCGCCGCTGATAAGGCCCCACTCCAAATGGGAGCCCCGTATAAGGCCATACTCCGGGTCACCCCGGCGTATAGCCTTCTGCATGGGGCTCCCGGCCTCCCGAGGTTGGGCAGGAGCCTACTCAACGCCGATGCGGCGCCCACTATTCGGGGAGCAAGTTGCCGGAAATGCTCCCCGAAGTTCCATCGCCGGTCCAGGACAAGTCCCAGATATTTCATCTGGGACTTGACCGGGACCGATACTCCTGCGATGGAGATGTGGGCGCCTGCCGGCACCGCCCAACCTCTACCCCTCCCGCCGAAGACGGCCACATCCGTCTTCGGCACGGCGACCTCGAGCCCCAGCAGTTGTATTCGGCGGACCACCATGTCCGCCGCTACTGAGGCTCTTCGGGCCGCCTCCTGGAAGGTGGTCCCCCGGACGGCTACCAGCGTGTCATCGGCGTACGCGATGACCGCCGTCCGGGGAAGCAGCGCGCCCCTCAGCACCCAATCATACCCCAGGTTCCACAGTAGTGGTCCTAATACGGACCCCTGGGGTACTCCGCACCTCATTGGGCGCTCGGCGCGCCTCCCTTCCCTCGTCTGGTAGAGCACCACCCTGTCCTCCAGGTAGTGCTCCACCAGACGGCTGAGGTACCTGGGGATATTATGGTACCTCAGCGCCTCCCTGATAACGGCGAAGGGGAGAGTGCCGAAGGCGTTGGCTATGTCCAATGACACAGCCACCACGCCTTCCCTCTCGCCGTTACCCTCCTCCACGATGTGTCGCAGCGACTCCAGGGCGTCCAGGGTGGAGAGTCCAGCCCTGAACCCGTACTGCCGCTGCGACACATCGGGGCCTGTCCCCCTCAGGTGTTCGTTGATCCTGGAGGCGATGATTCGCTCCAGGATCTTCGCCACCTCGTCCAGCAGGACGAGGGGCCTGAACCCCGAGGGGGAGTCCGCAGGTCGGCCCGGCTTGGGCACCAGGACGAGCCTTCCCTCCTTCCAGCATCTCGGGAACAACCCCGTCCTCAAGCAGTCATCCATGAGATGCTTGAGGCGGGTCCCGAGATGCTTCAGGGCAATGCGAAGGACTCGTCCCGGTACCCCGTCCGGGCCGGGAGCCTTCTTCTGCCCCCGCAGCCGTCCCACCGCCCACTCCAACTCCCCCTCGGTGATTTCCGGGGGGGGTTCCTCAGTCTGCCCTCCGTCTGCTCTGGGGGGCACCATGGCCGGTGGGGTGAAGGGCTGCGGTTCGGGGAAAAGGCCCACCACCACCCGGTTGAGGAGATCCAGCTCCAGTGACTCCATGGGAGATGCGCCGTACATTTTGTTGCGCACAACTTTGTACGGCCTCCCCCATGGGTCCGCGTCCAGGGTGGCCAAGAACTCCTCTTTCGCAGAGTCCTTGGCCTGTCCTATTGCGACCTTCAGGGCCTGCCTCGCGCCCTGAAGGGCGCTGTGGAGCCTTCTCTCCTCACTTGGGGTGTGGCGCCTGCGGCGGCATCGGCCGTAGGCCCGCCGGGCCGTGGTACTGGCGGTGCGGAGGTCCCCAATTTCCGCGGTCCACCAGTACACACTCTTTTTGCCCGGGGTCCCTCTGACCCTAGGCATGGCCCGCTCGCAGACGGCGGTCAAGTCTTCCCTGAACTTGACCGCCCTCTGCTCCACATCGACGGTGGCCGGTGGGGGGGGGCACCACGCCTGGACCATGGCTGCTTCCTCTGCGAGCTCAGGGTCCAGACGGGTGAGTGCCCATTTGGGAAAGCCCCTCCCGGGGGCCGTGTTGGAGGCCGTCGTGGGCGGCGCATGGGAGACCCTCATCCGTATATATTTATGATCGGAGAGGGTCTCCTCGTCCTCCAGGACCTGCCAGCCGGATACTCGCGCGGCTAGTGAGGGGGTCGCAAAGGTGATGTCCACGATTGACCCCCCATTTCGCCGCACGCACGTGTTGGCATGGCCCCGGTTGAGGACGACCAGCCCTAAGGCTGCCGCCCAATCCTCCAACTTTGGCCCTCTGGCATTGGTGACCGGAGAACCCCACGCCGCGCTCTTGGCGTTGAGGTCCCCCAACACCAACACCGGCGTCGGAGCTGCCCTCCTCACCGCCCTCTCTAGGGTCTCCAGGAATGCCTGGAATTGGGCCAGGGAGCGGTTTGGAGAGAAGTACACCCCAATTAGGATGACTTCTCCCCACCTCGCCGCCACGAACCCTGACCCGCGTTCCTTCACCACTAGAGGGGGGGAGTTTCCGGCAGTCGACGCCACTATGGCCACCGTCTCCTCCCGATCCCCCGCCCAATTCCCCCGCGGGGGGACAAAGTATGGCTCCGCCACAGCAGCCACCGCAACCCCCCACTCCGCCATGGCCTGGACCAATAGGTCCTGTGCCCTGGCGCAGTGGTTGAGGTTGCCCTGCAGTATAATATGGTGGCGTGCTGGCATTACTGCTCCATACTTTGTCCCTCAATAGGGGGGGAGCCTGAGGTCCCCGCCGGCTTGCCCTTAGTGGGAGGGGGAGCGCAAGATCGCCCCCCCATTACGTGGTCCGCTGGACGGCGAGCCGCGGTGCATACCGAGCACCGCGGGGTTGCCGTGCACCCAGAGGCCGAGTGTCCGACCTGGCCACACCTGAAGCAGAGCCCACTCCTATCCACACTGGACGGGAAGAGGGCTCTGGTGTGGCCAATCCCCATGCACCTGAAGCAGCGCATGGGGAGGGGCTCCATCACATGGACCCCGGCGGAGGACCACCCCACCAACATGCGGCCGGCAGCCGCCACCCGTTGGGCTGCCGTCACCGGACAGCGGACGATGGCTGACCCTCTCCCGTTGGGGGCCAGCCTGATGGCTCCCACGCTCACGGCGGACTGGGGGCATTGGCCTTTCGCAGCCACCACCGCCTGGATCTTCTCCGGGGTCACCGACTCGTCAAGGCCGGTGACCCTTAGATCGGCGGTTTTGGTAGGCCGCGTTACTGTCGCCAGCCCCCCGATCACCTCCTCCAGCTTGGCCGCCAGGGTGTCGGCCTTCTCGGCGCTAGTCGCCCCGGGCACCTCGACTATGCGGGCACCTGTCTGGGTGTTCCGCACGTACGTGCGGGATGCCGAGGCTGCCCAAATCGACCGCAGCGGTCGCCGCCTCTAGAACCCCCTTATAGGTGGCCCCCTTTTCCGCCACCGCTTCGGGCCTCAGCGTGATCACCACCGCCGATGATTTCGGGGTGGCGAGAGCCCTGGGTCTGGGCGCCGTCTTGGGGGCCGCCTTGGCGGGGGCCCGTGCCGCTTGGGGGGCGGCAGTTGCCGTTTTGGCCTTTCTGGCCTTGCGACCGACTACCTGTGACCAGGGCGTTTCCGCCTGGTCAGTCGGCGTGGAGGCTGCCGCGTCAGGGGCGGTAGGGACGGCGAGAATGGCGGGAAGTGCCGCAGGAGGGGTGGCAGTAGCCTTCGGCGGGGGAGCCTTCCTCTTGGCCTTCTTGTTGGGCCGCTGGCCAGCAGGCGCCTTTCGGGCCAGGGAGGGGCCCGGTGTCGACTCGGGGGCCGCGGCGGACGGAAGCAACCTCGGGGCGGCTGTGGCGACGGCGATGGCGGCAGGCGTCGCCTCGGGGGCGGGTGCCCCTGTTCTGCCGCCCAGAGGGGGGCGTAGGTACTCCGCGGGGAGGCGTCTTTCGATATCCCCCAGGCGGGCGTCCATCATATTCCTCATCGAGGAGAAGATGTCCCGCCTGAGATCGTCGATGGCCTCCCTCACTCCCGCGTGCATCTCCGCGGAGCTACGCGGCGGTGGGGCCACCTGTGCCTTGGCCTTGGCCATGGCAGAGGAGTAGGCCCCTCTCAGGGCCTTCATCTCCGTCTCCAGGGCAGCGAGCTGTCCCCTCATCCGGCGGTTGTCTTCCGACATCCGCCGCGCCGCCTCCGTCGCCGTCTCTCCACGGTGAAGGAAATCGACGGCTCCTTCTACCTTTCTGACGGCCTCTTTTATGGCTTTGACCACCGTCCCCTTGAGGTTAGAGGACTTGGCGGTCTCCGCCAATATTGCTGCGAGGCCGTCTCGTGCCTCCTGGGCCAGGGTCTCTCGCATGAGGCCCGCCGTGCCATCGGGTTCAGCCTCCCCGGCCTGATCCCGACCCAGGGCCTCCTTGAAGAAGGCGGCGTCCGCTTCGTTCTGGAGGGCGTTCCACTCTGACGAGCTGGAGCGCCCCCTCCCTGCCGTCGCCGCACCGGGGAAGGGCTTCCCGGGGCCTCTAGTTCTGCCCCTACGGGCCGTGTTAATCTTTGGAGCCCTTTCGGGCTCCATAGATTCGTTCGACGGGGGGGCGGCGCGCTTGGGGGCCCTTGAGGATTCCTCCTCTCTGGCCGACCCGGAGCGCGATACCGCGCGTGAATTCCCCTCCGAGAGGGTGGATTCTACGTCTGAGGAGGCCGAGACCATCCTCTCACCCTCCGACTCACAGTCGGAGAGAATCCTCACCTCCATATTGGAGGCCTTCGAACCATTGTTTCTAAGTATAGTCCTAATGTTTGCTAAATCGGAGTCCATTGAGCGTGTGCGCATGTTGTGTTCACGAGAGTCGGCTTCCGGCCGACTCACGAGGCAGTTTTTGCCCCCCCCAGAGTACGAGGGGCTGCCACCCGCCGAAGCGGATGGGCGGGATTCCCCCTTTCGGGGACCCGCCTGGGGACTATTTTCAAAACTAGCCTTTTCCATTTTGGTTTTTGCTTTGAAAGGGGGGGAGCTCCCCACTGGGGCGCCCTAACGACTGGATACCCTCCAGCCATTCATCCCATCGCCGGGCGCTAGAGCTTAGGATTGGGGTAATTTTTATAGAGGTTTTCTTCCTCGTGGCCCTCCTCTCAATGAGGAGGACCCCCGGTCCCGCTCAATGTAGGATTACGGGTTGGCCGGAGCCGGTCTGGGGACCGGACACCGCCCACCGTCTCGGTTGCGGGTTGGATAGCGCCGGACAGAACCTGTGCTATCTTCCCTCCCTCCCTGCTGGTTTTGGTCCGCGCCGGCCGAAGCCGGTAGCTCCCATATCTGGGAGCCGTTCCCCTATCCGCCACCTGGGGACGCGTCCGATGGCAGACCAGCAACTGCACACGGATGTGTTCACAACCCTAGGAAAACGTGTGAAGTCCCTAACCCGTAATGAGGCAGGCAGCGTGGCGGACTATGGCCGCCACTTAAAAATTCACCAACTCCATCCGGTGCACCCGCGATTATTGCTAGTGTGGCCATGGCAAGGGTGCCCCGGAGTTGGAGGATTGTAAAAGAGGACTGCAGATCAATTAGTGTCGTTTGGGAACGACATTGCTATATCTAAAGTAGTTGATTGGTTTGCTGTTAATAACCTACTTCTTAATGAGAAAAAAATAAATTGTGTGAAATTTACATTACCCAATATTAGAGAGACGGTTACAAACATTGTAGTTAGAAACGAAAAATTGAATCTTGCGGATACAGTTGTATTTCTAGGTATAACGTTAGATGCTAAATTGCAATGGGGTCCCCATATAAGTAAGTTATCAATACGGCTCGGCTCTGCAGTGTACGCGTTTAAAAAAATAAGGAAACTTTCAGACGTCGAAACCGCTAGATTGGATTACTTCAGCTACTTTCACAGTCTAATGACATACGGCATTTTGCTTTGGGGTAATGCCGCCGATATCAATAGAATCTTTGTCCTGCAGAAACGTGCAGTTAGGGCAATTAACAATCTGGGCCCCAAAGTATCTTTGAGAGATAAGTTTAAGGAAATTAACTTTCTTACACTAGCCTCACAGTACATTTATGAGAATGTAATTCATGTTAAAAGGAATAGTAATTTATTTATGAAAAATAGTGACAGACATAACATTAATACGAGGAATAGAAATAAACTAGCTTTTGTTGATAGTCGTCTTCACAAAGTCAAAAAATCATTTAAGGGGCAATGTATACGCTTCTATAACAAGATTCCGGTTGATATACAAAATTTGCCTTTCACGAGGTTTAAAACTATAGTGAAACAAAAACTTTATACTAAAGGTTATTATACAACTTCTGCGTACTTGGATGACAAAAATCCGTGGTAGTAACCCGTTTAGCTCATGTAGGTAGTCTCGATCTCTGATGTTTCAAATAAAAAAAATATTGTAAATGTTATTTACAAAGAGCAACGCAGTTTCTTGCTCATTCTTCTCAGGGGAATCTGCCTTACGAATTAGCGGTAGAGTTTAACTATTGTGACGATTTCAAGTGTAATAATGCTTACCTATGAAATAAAGATAATTTTGAATTTGAATTTGAACATTATTGACATTGATTCGTTTATTGAAATTGGTCAACGGAATGTGGGTCAAATCCAATAAACATATTGGAATATTTTTTCAAAATTGAATAGTACTACTACTAGGTACCGCTTTTCCGACAAAAAAGAACCATCGAAATCGGTTCACAAAACAACACAATACATACACAGAGTACAGCTAAAAAGTACAATCAAAATATAAAAAAACATTATTCATATAGCAATAGGTTACACATTAATATAATTACTTAATATAATTTTATTTTAATGTCATATTCAAATTTTTGGTAAACAAGAATCATTTTATTTCAAATTTGAAGCTGAGCAGGCAATCATTAAAATATCCAAATCCTATAGCCTATGATATTGATTATAAGTTTTAAGTAATCGCGTAACATACACATAAAAAAATACAGGCGAATACCTTTTTTTGAAGTCGGTTAAAATACTTATAAGTTATCAACCGACAACATCTCCATAAAATTTTTATCTTTCCTTTGATCGAATTTCAACGTAGTGTAAACATGTTGTAATAAAACTTTGGTAATAAAAGTAAAATCGAAGATAAAAAAACCCATAATTTTAAGGGAGTATACCTAACAAACACATGGAGTAAACAAATAAAATGACAGTTAATGCTTGCAATAAACACATGTAGTGGTATTGATATGGTAAACGGATGCGGTCAAATCAACAAAACTTTACCAAAATCTCAAAAAATGTAAAAAAAACACTTCGAACACGCTTATAGCCCAGTTAAACAAAGAAAAAAATAGTAAATTATACCAAAAATGTAGAAGATTGTGAAATCTAATAACTACTACCGAAGTACCCCTTTCCAACAAAACAGAATCACCGAAATCGGTTTACAAATGTCGGAATTATCGCATAACATACACACAAAAAGTCGTCCTCCTTTTTTGAAGTTAATTAAAAATAAACCTACTAATCTACCACATCAATAACATAATAATGAAAATAACACAGATGTTTTCGACCCCACATTGGTAGATAATCGACTTCGGGCTTTCGTGACAACCCTGTTCAAAATGTTAGCCATGACCATGGAGCACGCAAAGTTGAAGTGCGTATCGCGACCTTGCAACGTATCCCAATACCACTACACATAACGCGTAGTGTGCTGTGCCGCAAATTATCACATTTTGGCGAGGAAGTTCGGAAGATGATAAATCTACGTAGCTAAATATTGCAGTCATCTGTACAAAATTGTATATCTATCATATAATATAAACTCGTCCGTGACATTACTAATCTTGCAATAGTTTTTTTTTATCAAACGTCAGATGTATTTTAAAGAGACAAGATTTTATTAATGGTTTATACAAATGTGTATTTTACAAATACCAATCAGGACTATACTCGCTTAACAAACTAATCGAAAAACCACTTTGACTCTGGTGGACCTGTTGGCAAATCGCATAAGACGAAAGACGTGACGTGTTACTATTTATACTTCTACTTTTACTATTTTTAACGACATGGCACCGCAGTCAAAAATTTGGCAGGCGATATATGCAGATCATAGGAGCAGTGGTAGCCCAGTAAGAGAATGGTTGCTTCTCAATTTAGAGGTCGAAGTTTCAAATCCCTGAGACGCCATGTACGTACTATGACTATATTTTGTAAGTTATTAATTAGGTACCTACATTTCGTCTACATGTCGTCGTCGTTTTGTAGAAAGGGCGAAAGAGCCATTCTGAAAAATGTTTAGTAGTAATACCTCTTACTAACGGTGAAGAGAAACACCCTATTGAAACCTGGAGGTACAAGAAATATAAGAACCTATACACACGGCGTATTTTATACGCGCTGACAACGCACCTTTTACGAACGCGCTTTGAACACGCGTTTACGGCGCCGAAGATGTTCGAAAAGCAGATTGTTGCATTTGTATCGATTCAAACGTGCGAAAAACGCGATACAAACGCTCATTCGAAGCGCGTTTGCATCAAAACATCGCGTTGCAAGACTGAGAAAGGGGGCAGGGGAAAAACGACGTTTACATTTTTTTCTTTTTAAAATCACTAATAAAGCTAGCGTAAGCAGTGTTATCTATACCGACGCCAAGGTGCTACTATTGAGAGTACGCGCCGTAAATGCCCGTTTCACAAACACGGGTGAAACGCGCGTTTACGGCGCTTATGAATTTGTGAACGTGTGCATAGGTTTACTGGCTACGACTGAATCTCGTTTGAATCGCGTTAACGCGCGTCATCAGCGCGTCCTCTGCGCGTCGTCTGCGCGTATAAAATACGCCGTGTATATAGGCCCTAAGCCCTCCTTGCACGCAACTACGTGAGCTACGCTAAACTAAGTTAGCTTAGCTGGCATACTTGATTGTATGCAACTACGTGTGCTAAATTGCGTTAGTTAACTTCGTTCGCGGTGTGGCCTGCGCTTGATGCGCGAGCAGGATGTCGCGACGGTATTCTTTGGCATGCATAAGGAAACCCGCTGCATATTTGCCGTCAGTGTGCGCTTGCATGTAGGGATGCTGAAGGATCCCTTGCCATACCGTCCCGCTAGCGGGCGCCGGTCTTTAACCATTTTCAAAACTCGTGCTCAGTACATACAAAGGTACTTGCTAGAATAGTAATACAAGCGGACAAAAAGCACAATTTCACGCCGTAGTACCACGGCAGTCATGGTCAATTTATAAACTTCATAACTTGGCTAAGTGCCCCCTGTAACCATTATAGTGTTATTTGTCTACCTAATAGTTTTACTATGGTGTTTATGGTAACATTGTGTGTTTTCCGGTTTCACTTACTGCAAACTTGCGCAATTATGTCGTCATAAGTAATAAAGCGCAAACCGCTTTAAGCGTAAATTCGGTTTTTCGTCTCAAAAGCGATATGGCAATTAAAGCCTCAAAATCATATTGTAAATTTAGTTCTTATTTAATTAAATAATGGAAAAATGGAAAAATCAAGGTGTTAATGAGACTTAAAATAAAGTGTAAAAAAATGGAAGTTTGCTACGTTTAAATTAAATTCAATTTCTTTTGTACGTACAAAAAAAAACGTAGTGAAATCTAACTGTATGTGTTACTTGTACAGTGTCCCCGACTGTACCTACCAAAGAATAATATTTGACTCTACACTATATAGTAATAGCAGAGTATTATTACAATATGGTGTGTAAAACTGTGGTAACAGGTAGTAAATGAGTATTATGTAATTTTTAACACCAAACTCACATTAAAATAACCTGTATTTCATGGGTAAGTAACTTACGCTAGAAATCTTCACATTGATTAATCTGTACTACTCATTCATAAAGCAGGTTCCCTTAAAAATAATCAGTAAGAAACTTTGGAGCAGTCCTGGGGTTGCTCTTTGTAAATAAACGATTTCATATATTTATCATTTACAATATTTATTTCAAATATGTATGATAGAGCAATCTGCAAGAGCTAAACAGATCAATACCACGGATTTTTGTCATCCAAGTACGCAGAAGCTGTAAGTATAATTCAAACTGTAGTAGCAGCAGTAGGCTACTTAAATTTTGTGTATCACATACCTACGAGAAATCAACTTACATTCAGACTATATTGCTTGATACCTCTTTTTAAAAGAGTCGAGACCTGATAAATATTTCCAGCTGAACAACGTATAAGCGTTGATCAAAATAACATTACTGCAGAAGTTTCAGTAGAAGTAGAGCTCCTTGTGATAGAGTTCGTCCAGAGAAATTACCTTACCTATTTCTGCCGCCAAGTAGTAATATTAGCATTACTGTGTTCCGGGTTTGAAGTGTAACCTTACACTGCTGGTGAAATTACAGGCACATGGGACTTATCAACTTATGTCTCAGGGTGTCGGGCGTAGTGGTTGTGCCTCTCAGATCTTTGCGATTTAAAGCTCTGAGTGGCACTGCAACTGTTATGGATAGACGTGTAGCTTACCATCAGGCGCACGACTTGTTCGTCCCGTCACTTGATATCATACAAAAAAAAACAAAGTAAAATATGTATTGAAAATAATTAACATACTGTTCCCACGCTTAGAGTCATTTCTATATACCGACTAATTCAAGTCAACAACTGGAATGGAAAACCACTTAGATCTAAGTGTAAACTTTATAACCTAGGCCTAAACAATGTCATCTAGTGTTGCGGATTACTCCCGATCGATAACAATACAATTGCTTTATACTTAAGTTTGATTTAATTAATGTGCCAAGATAAGCTCCTACATCTCAATGTTTATTTTGTGACCAGGTCGAGGCTATAATATAAATACTTTTACTATGTATTTGTAGTAAAATATAGAACACTTCAGTTGAAGCCTATTGAAATTCTAAGTTGTAATTTTAAATATTTCAGAACTTTCAAAAGATGTGACAGACAGATATTAATAGGTACATAGAATACGAATGTGATGGCATGTGACATAGAGAAAAAGGTACATACATAGTACGATTTATCAAAACACAACATTTTTAGGTACATATATGTGGAACGTACATTAATGACGATTTAATGCTATTATACTTCGATTTTCTTCAGCTTTGGGCAGAAGGAAATTTTGGGTTATTTTATCAGGCACCATTATATTCAGTCATTTTGTAAACAAAGCAGTACCTTGAAATAAAATTCTCAAATATTTTAACTACCTTTATGTAATTATTACGTTTTATTTTACTCGTAACAGTTACTATTGTAAATTACATAAAAAATTTATGTCTTTCTACTTAATCTATGTATTTCAAAGATTTACACTATACAAACATTGAAGAAACAGAGCTTCCAAACATTAAACGGAAACTTTTTATAAAATAATAACATAATTTATTATATTATCCTGTAATTTCTAAAATTCCATTTGTCATCAATTCTGAGGCTGTTTTTCTTTGCTGTAATTTGTTGACTGAAGAAAAAGTTTACGATCACTGCGTCTTTGTTTACGTTTTTCCTAATCCCATAAAATTAAGTATAGTAGAATGCAACATCAAGTACATCGTAGCTTATCCATAAACTTATAGTATCAATGATGACTTAGTTACAGTGAGGTACACCTTATACCTACCTCAATTAGTTACTCAACACAACCTGCCCATGTTTTTTTTATCTCGTACTCTTAAACGATTGCCTTAACGGCGTTAGTCACTGTATGTATATGTTTTCCCGTGCTAGGTAGTTTCAATTAAGCAATCCCAATTAGGCGACGTAAACGTAAGCATTGTACTTGCTTTTGACGGTGAAACTAAATAACTAACCAATTGTTTGTACTAACCAATTGAGTCTGAGAAACTTGGAATAAATGATTTATTATTATTATTAAATAAGCAGAAGGTTTTTGGATGTTGCTATTGGATATTATTTTTGTGATGTTCAATAACATACACGTATCAGTGTATTTCGAACACAGTGCAGTGGGCAAAACCAATTTATAAAATTTTTGTGACTAGCAAGATATATCGGATGCTAAGATAAAAGCGATGTTATTGAAGTAAAAATAAATTAAATGAAAACACAAACAACCATACATATCACCTGGCTAGAAACCAGGAAAATTTCTATACTATAGTATAGTATCAACCTGAATAACAAAATTAACTCCGAGGGCTTTATCCAGAATACTTGTTGCGAATGCAACAGAATTCGAAGCAGTAACAAAACGCTCGTCAAGTGCGCATTATACATAGGCCGGGGGTTCTATTTTGCACCAATCAACTAACACCACATAAATTTTATTTTATCCCTACCACATATTTAATCTCCGACAAGAGTTTAGGTCATAGTCCGCCACACTGGCCCAATGCGGGTTGGGGACTTCAAAGGTTTTGAGGATAGTGAGCCTTCTTCTACGTGCAGGTTTCATCACGTTGTTTTCCTTTGCCGAAAAGCTTATGGTATATTTCAAATTATATTTCGCACATAAATTCCGGAAAACTCAGTTTGAGCCCGGATACGAACCTACGGCCTCTGCTTGAGAAGTGGTAGCCTCATAAGCCACGGCTTTTTTAATCTCTATATATTTAATATAAATACATTCATAATCTTCTTTAATTGTTAGTAAATTTGCTGCCAGTTAGAGGACATGAGACGCTGCTGAACGGTTTTTCATATTTACATTAGCATATGCTTACCAACCATTTCTTAGCGAAGGAGGGATGGCACATCTTCGTGACCTTCCCATCGACCGTGAGCCAACAGACCGTAAGAGTAATTCAAGACGTAACGCAATCATTTCACCGATAATTTGTCATAGTAATGCTTCCGTCTATTCCGCGAGTGGAGTAAACATGTAGTAAATAAAATTATACATAATGCCCTTGTTCCTCCGTATTTTTAAAACTTTTGGAGGCCGAATAATGTTATGGACTTTTATTTATGTTACCAATACGGTTGGATTTAAAAAAAAGGCTATACACATACATATGTTTTGACCTGAAATTATCTTTTTTAGAGACCGCAATTTGTATTGTTTTTGTTGAGACAATTTTTTTATGTAAGACAATAGTATTGCATACCGAATTATATTTAGATACTGTTTTATAAGTTTCTTGTTATTTTTTATGTTTATTTGATAAAAGTATCAAAATTGTTAGGAGCTTAGTAGATCTTGAAATATTACATTAATAAAATAAATAATGATAAATGACGTTTAGTCTTATTATAATTACCAAATTTGTGGATAGACAGGTAGAAGCCCTGTACAAAAATGGCTATAACTGTTTTATATTACTTTCTGTGCATATTATCTCTAACATTTCGAATGTAGGATTTGAATCCAGATCATGGATGAATTTAAAAAACAAATACGCATTCTAAAAAAATACGATGTTACACTTCGAGTGTTTCAAAATGGCCATAACGACTTCCCGCGAAAAAATATCACAAATATTAACAAAAACTTACAATTTAAGATCTGGCAGTGTGGGCGATTATAATCTTCGGCCAATTCTAATCTATGGCCAACTTTAGTCAGTCCCGAAGGTTGAAAAATTTTACTTGATACTCATAGGTCAATGTAGGTCATATGTAGGTACTCGAAAACTTCGCAAAAAAAATTATGTATATGCACATAATGTGTAGGCTCTATAAAATTATGTGTCCTTACTCGTATGAGTAAGCACGAGATCCGAGTTTTAAACTTAATGACCACCCAACGCCAAAATTGTTGAAAACTATAACAACTTAATGGCCATTTCCTCATTGCATTATAGAAAAATAATGACACAATCATATCCCTTGCGAGTATTGTTATTTGTAGGGTGACAATGCGTTGCGTTGTTCTGCGTCATACCGTGATACCATCCATAAGAAGGCCGGGCTGCCTACAAACGAACTCATTACCTCTGAGTGACCATTGTCAATTATAAGACAAAAACTCCCACTGTTTATAAAGGTCTGTAAGTACGTGCGCGCACGCAGAGCGCATCTCCTCTCAAAACGCACTACCTGTGTCTGTGGCTTATTCTAAACTACTGAGGACTTTACAACTGAATCTGCGATAGCTACCGTAAGTACCAAGAAAAGTAAATATAAATTATAGTATTTAGAGAATGTAAATAGTCAATATTAAATAAAATGTAAATAGGATTTAAATATGTAAATTTACAAAACAACTAAAAACGACTAAACATTTTACTAATAAATACACACATATTTACAATAAATATATTTGAAATCCATTTCTCTTGACCATAGATATTCACCTATACTGAAATAATAAAATATTAAAAGATTATAAATCAAAAAATTAAGCATAGTGAACAACTATGGTTACGTTCATATACGTAGATACATAAACTTACAAATGAAGAAAATCTTTAAAGTTTCCACAAATTAACTAAATCGTAATTATCAATTGCTACACAATGGAGATGAAACAATTTTTTGGTCAGGGCTGACCACGGGACCAGTAGAGCTCAAACATTGGTTGGTTTAAAAAAATAAATATACACGATTTTAGATCCTGGAAATTTTATTTCAATAAGCCGTAATCAATTATCTTTTTTACGTATATAAGATGGCCGTAATTAACAAAATTTTAATAATTCCTAAGATGTCCATGTCATAAAATTTAATTAAACATATCATATATTAAATTTGCTATGATGTATCTTTTACGTGGTTGTAACATTTCCTTAACTTTAAGATCAAACAACAAAAAAATTAAGAATAAAATTATTTGAGCATAGAAGTTCGATTGTATTTTGTAAAGTCAAACTAAATTATACGCTATGAAAAAAAGCTGTTTAATCAGCTTTTATCTTTAAATAATCTTTTGATTCAGAATAAAGTAGCATTATAATTCAATGTTTTTGGAATTCTCAATTCTTGATTGAAAAACCATATAGACCTGCCAGATTTTTAGGGACGATTCTTGTCATCCATTCGAATCATTTTTACTACGTTCATGCACCCCTCAGAAACCAGGAAGAAATCCAGTTGTAACATGCATTTAAAGCGAGTATTTTTTTTTGTAATATCAAGTGACGCGACGAATAAGTAGTGCGCCAGATGGTATAAACTACACGCCTGTCCATAACAGTTGCAGTGTCCTAAGAGCTTTAAATAGCAAAGATCTGAGGGGCACTGCCGCTGCGCCCTGATGGGCTTATGACTCAGGGTGATACCCTGAGTCATAAGTTGACATGTCCCATGGGCCTGTAATTTCACCAGCACCCTTACCCTTCAAAACCGGAACACAGTAATGCTGATATTACTGCTCGGCGGCAGATATATGTAAGGTGGCAGTACTTCCCTGGACGAACTCCTTCACAAGGAGCTGTACTGCTACCATGTGTTAGATACAGATGTATGGAAAGACTATATGAGTCTAGACTTTTTTTTTTTAAATGTTATTCCATAGCATTTAAGTTTATTTGAAAAGAAAAATCCCTAGAGTTCCTCGCTCGTTCTTCTCAGAGAGGTCAGCGTAGTCATCGAGCAGTAGCTTAAAAAATGACGTTTTCAAGTTTTGACGTTCACTATTATTTGTTAATCTGGGTCAAGTGGATGGGTACAAACCTTCGTAGCCAACCTGTACAGTAAAACAAAAAAATGCCTTAATGTCCACGGTTGACACTTGTATTCTGGTCTGTGACTTAAAATACAACTATTATCACTATTATCCCAGCTCAAGTAAGACTGAGCTATGGATGACAGAAGGCATCAGAAGCCAAAAACAAACGGAAATACTTGCAAAGGAGCTATGACCTGCAATGAAACACTGCTACATAAAAATATGTGTTCCGGGAGTACAAGTCTGTTACATCAACATTCAGGAAGCTATGGGGCAGTAGTATAAGACACTAAGAACATAAGCCTGCCACTACAAGGCACGAAAAGTACAAAACGGTAATAATTAGTAGTCAAGTCATAGAGTACCGCTTCGGTCTTGAACCATGATAATGAATCGCTGAATAACCAAGCATGCAACAGTTGTAGGTCAAAACACAGGCGTGAGAACGTAACAAAATGGCAATTATTTCCCCGAGGTTCAATGCTAAGATATTTACATGAACCAAATTGGTTTCTACACCAACTTTAGTAAAATTTTAAGTTTTATTTAATATTAAATACGAATTGCAAAAGCGCCATGAGTTATGGACAAAAAACGTACCTACATATACATAAGATCCTAATCTGATATCATCTTTATGCAACTTGTTATTTTTCGTAGTATTCTTGATAGAGCAGTCGTGGTCTTTACGGAGTATGTTCCTTACAGGCTTATGAGGCTCGCCTCAACCTCACGATACCTCGGAGTCCACTAATAGATCTCTCTATTAGTGGACTCCGAGGACTCCTTCGTGTACACTTGCAATGGACCGCCCCCTGTAGATTTTAATTGACATCGGTCCATCTCGCAGTTTAGTGCCCTCTATTCTACTTTAACAAACCAATACACTGTAATATCAAAAACAGCATTTTCACAAAAGGCTGCAACAAAATTTGATTGTAATTGTCCAGGTTAATAACATAAAAAGATATATTTAAATTACTTTGTTATGTAATAAAGAATGCTATCTAGACAATATAATTGACTTTGCAAAATAAGCTATTTCTATTTGAAAAACGAAAAAAACATTGCATTGATAACAGCTGCTACATTCTTGTTCTAGGGAAATTAAAAGAAACTGCATGGAACTAGCAGTGTTTTGGTTTGACACGACAAGACGCTGTATCTAGTTAATATTCAGTCTTGACTGCACTTAATTTCAACTTAAATTCAAAAACTTTACTTGGGTCTTGGCTACATGATACTAATCTCTATAAGCACTGAGAACTCGCCCTGATTAGTTCTATATTAGGGGTAATTAGGTTCTATATTAATAATAATAGAACCTAATTACCCCTAAAGTGATTGTCTTGTACTTATACAAACGCTTCATATCATTTGTATTCGTAAAAATGCAATAATTACACTGATATCACTGCTAATATTAGTATTATATTAGAAGTTACAAATAGCGATGTAATTATTACAAATAGGAAAGAAGCTTGTATATTGTTTACTACTTGCGTGACAAGACAATAGATACTATTTCAATTTTTTCATAATACATAAATAGAGTAGTTAGCGTAACTTTATTTCATAACGATTTCATTATATTTATTTCACGCGTGTAGCTTACCATCATGCGCACGACTTGTTCATCCCGTCACTTGATATTATTAAAAAATATATAAAAGAAAATAACGAACTGTGACGTAGAAATGTGATGCAGCGTTTTCCTTTATTTTTTCTCACAATTTAATCATATTGATTTATTAATCAGTAATTCTATATAGCAATTTATCTAGTGAAAAGTTAATGACAAGTTATTTACAATTCTAAAATAAACTTTTTGAAATATTTTTATCGTGTCGACCCCTACACACTATATTTTTTAGCAAATTACACTTTAAAACGTCGTTTGATTTAACTCTCCTACTCATTCGTAAGGCAGATTTCCCTGAAGAATGAACATTTGTACACTTTGATAATTTAAAATATTTATTTCAAACAACAAAGCAAACCAGAGCTAACTGGATCACAACCACGGATTTTTGTCATCCAAGTATGCAAGAGCTGTGTAATAAATCACCTTTAGAATAAAATTTTTGTTTGGGTAGCGAAACAAAATACGGTGAAACAACATACGATGGTTTTAACCTAGTGTATGGCAAATTTTGAATAATTTTTTACCCATAAATTTTTAAACTTTGTGAAGGTTGACTGTCAAGAACATTCGCTTTATTTTTATTTCTCGTATTAATGTAATCTGTCGCTATTTTTCATAAAAATAAATAAAAATATGCTCTTTTTAGTCTAAGAAAGTTAAATTCTTTAAACTTCTCTCAGACACTCTGGGACCCGGATTGTAAATTGCCCTAACCACACGTTTCTGCAGGACAAATATCCTATTAACATCGGCAGCAGTACCCCAAAGTGACGTAATATGTCATTTAACTGTGGAAGTAGCTAAAGTAAACCAATCTAGAGATTTTAAGTTTTCGTATAATTTTATCGCGTATACTGGAGAGCTAAGCCGTTTCAATAACTTGCTTATTTGAACCCCATTGCATTGCAATTTAGCATCTAAAGTTACACCTATAAATACAAGAAGTGTTGTCTGTCTGTCTGTGTCTACAAGAAAATTAAATTTTTCGTTGTGACCGTCTGTCTGACATTGGGAAATGTAAATTTCACACAATTTGTTTTTTTTTCTCATTAAGCAGTATTCTCGTACCGTCGACAACGACCCTATCGCCATGTCTTGTCTTCTTAGGACTCCCTTTGACATTGTTCGACTTGATAAAACTTTTTTACATTATGTACAAGTTTTTGATTTTGTATTATAAACACCTACCGCCTTCTTATTATAAATAACAACTGCATAATTGAGATGATTCTGTTCATTTACAGATGGCATCAAAACTCTTTAAGTGTTTGGTGGTAGTGTTTGGATGCGCGTGCGCTGGCGCTGCTCCTGCCAACGAAGGATTGGAGAAGGCTGATGTGCAACCAGAACACGAAAAGGACGACTTGCAAGCGGCGAGTTCTTCATGTAAGTTCTTCATTGTTTGAACTTCTCTGGCTAGTTGATATCAGCAGAAATTTCGCGTCCGACATCAAAATACATTTCTCAGATTTATGTATTATCGACTATTCAGTAACTTTAGGGACAAAACTATATCAACCCGTTACCTTAGCAATATATAGGAGGACCTGTACGGTGTTGCTCCCTCCTTTTAGCTTCTTTAAATCTCTGTATACATTTTCAGACTATGTAAGCAGTGGTTACCCAAGCAGCTACACCGGCTATGGAGGCGTGACGGGTTATGGCTTCGTCGATGACAAATACAACTCTTATGACAATATTTACGGCTCTAATGGCTACGGTAGTGGCGGTTACGGGGGATACAAAGGCTACAGAGGTTACGGCGGTGGATACGGCCTAAGTGGCTACGGCAGTACTGGCGGATACAGCGGTTATAGCAGATACGGCGGGAACGGCGGTTATGGCGGTTACGGTGGTTACGGCGGATACGGCGGTTACGGCGGCAACGGCGGATACGGCGGTTACGGCGGCAACGGAGGACTAAACTCCTACTACGGTTACGATAACCCTGGCTATCAAAGCGGACTCCACCTTGGTTACGGATATTATGATAGGAAACCTTATGGCAATATTTACAACAGTGGAATCACCCCCAGTTTAGTCACAGGCTATAGAGGTTATTCTAGGAGATAATTTGTTAAATTTACCATTCGCAGTAAGGATTCTATGATTGATATAGATAATGTAATGTACTCGTATTCTTTAGTTTATATGCTAACCAAAGTACCTTCCAAAGTTACCTTAAGTAATCAAAAAGTATAATAGTAAAGTACATACAAGAATTTTAATAAACCCCTTATGACTTGCTTTGAGGTTTTTTTGTACCTTCGTAATAGTATATATATTCTGTAATCTGTAGTAGTAGTTATAAATTGAACAAAGGATGTCAACTAACTATAATGAAAACAAGGATTCATATTTTGAATGTTTATTATTTATTACTAACAATGTGACATACACAATCTTAAAACAATACGTGCTATTTCATAAAATCGAAGAATAATCGAAGTACACCGTAAAATAAAACATGCTATTCCTATAGTCGTCATTGTTGCAACTGTATCTTGAAGAATATTGGTAGGTCACCTAATGCTAATCGGAACCAGACACACTAGTCTGCTTTTTCATAGATTTCAAAGCCCGTTCTCGAAGTTTTTTTTCTAAATCTTCAGTATTTACTTTCCCTTCCTCTTCTTCTTCTTCTTCAGCCTCATCGCTATCAGAGGAATCATCCTTCTTCTTTGATGATTTCTTATGCTTTTTGTGTTTCTTATGCTTCTTCGAGTGCTTCTTGTGTTTCTTTGTTTTTTTAGCCTTCTTTGGCTCGTCACTATCAGAGTCAGACTCTGATTCGGAAACTTTCTTTCTAGCCTTTTTCTTTGTGACTTGATCACTGTCCGAAGAAGACTCTTCCTTCTCGCGTTTCTTTGCCTTTTTTTCACTTTCGTCGCGAGATTTGGACTTAGTCTCATCGACGTGTTTAGTTTTCACAGTTTTTTCATCTCCTTTTCGGGATTTAACAACTTCAGGTGATGCCACCTTATCTTTCACTGGGTCTGTTTTCTTGCTGCGCTTTGCGTCTTTTTCGGAACTGGAAGAATCGCGTTTTACAGCCTTCTTCTTCGTAGTTTTCTCGTCACTGTCTGAACTATCGTCATCTGTGTGTTCCGTTTTCTTGGACTTTTGTTTTTCACCTTTATCTAACTTTGGTTTATCGACACTAGTATCCTTGCTACGCTTCTTAGTTTTTTTATCAGTTTCCGACTCTTCCGAAATAGTCTTCTGCTTAGATTTACTTTTAGGTTTTACTTCCTCTTCAGAACTAGAGTCTGAGCTGGAGGAACGAGCCTTTTTCTTCTTCGATTTTTTAGCCACTTTCTTTTTAGCATTGCGTTTGCTTTTCTTTTTCCTGTCTTCTTCCGAGTCGCTAGAAGATGAATCATCCGATTCGCTCTCACTAGATGAGCTCTCTTTTCTCGGTTTCTTTGCCTTCTTTGTAGCGGCTTTTTCCTTGCGTTTAAGCTTGGCTTTGCTTTTAGATTTCGCGGCTTCATCCTCACTCTCGCTTTCACTTTCTGATTGACGACTTTTTCGTTTTCCTTTTTTCACTTCTGGGGGTTTTTCTGCCTCTTCTTCGACATGTTCCTTTCCTGAAGCTTCGTCACCCGAGCGCTCTGACCTCTCTTTCTTATTATTTTCAATTTCGTGTTTCCTTAGAAAAGGGGATGGAGTACGGGACAAACTCTTGGAATACTCCCGCAAGGGAGGAATTGGTATGAAATATTCTCTGAACTCCTCCTCGTTAGTTTGACGTTTTACTTGATTGTCTTTTTCGACAACAGATTTATCGTTTCCAACAGAAGACGTTCTGCTCGAAACAGAAACTTCCCGTTCTTTGGAGCGCTCACGTGGTAATGACACTCGTTCCACTGACTTTTTGAACTTGTCCAAGTTTTCTGCAAAAAATGAAAAAATGTTCATAGGTAAACTTAGTGTTATTTACGATAACTTATTATTTTTTCTTTGAGAAATCGAAATTGATCGTGATAAACGAAGGTGCATAATATCTTGACTTCTTGTGATGCGAGGAACTATTTCTATAAACCAACCTTTTCGAGGAATGGACACGGATTTCTCTAAGCGTTCCTTAATTAAGTCGCTGGACCTCCTTTCACGAGATTTCCTGTCGCGGGACCGTCTGTCCTTTGTGCGATCTCTTGACCTCTTGTCCCTGCAAAATCACAAAAACATCTGATTGTGTCAAAAACAAAGACAAAATAAACAAATATTTAAATTTTATTTTACACCTTTTTACTATGAAAATAAATATTTTCTTTACCGGGAGCGATCTCTAGAGCGACGGTCCTTTGATCGACGATCCTTAGAACGGCGATCCCGGGAGCCACGGCCGGAACGACGGCGCGACCGGGACCTCTTGCGGGAACGAGAACGCCGACGATCGCGGGACCTAAATCAACCGTGAACACGTTATAAAATAACACTGCGCAATTATTTTTAGATTAGAATTGGTTAAGGGCATGAATCTGAGACACATCAAGGCTAAAAGAATGACAACATCCATTATCTCGTTTACTTTTGGAGAGTGCAGTATCTTCTATAAAGAAACAGCCTTTACGATAATATTATTAACTTGCACGCAGATCAAACTTATATACTATTGACGTTGACGTACACATTGTAATTGACATACATACTTGTTAACGTATGGTTACTGTGTTAAATAGAAAGCATTATATGCACATGCACAACAATCTTATGGAAGATTTATAAAAGTGAAAATAGTAAATGATAAGTATAGAAATAACTTACCTGGCATGTTTAATAATTTATGCACGACACAATCTTAGATCTTTTGAAACCCACCAGATAACGTACTTCTACTTATCACTTAACTCTTTTTTTCGAGTAAACATGCCTTTATTGACAACAGGTAACTGAAGCCATGGAAGCGCAACATAAAACTAGAAAGAGTTTACCTGTCCCTTGAACGTCGTCGAGAGCGTGAACGCGAGCGTCTGCGTCTTTCAAGCGATCGGCGACGTTCACGCGACCTTTAACGATAACTCGCACTATATGTCTATAAAATATCATAACCTAGCAAAATTTTAAGCTCCCAAAGAAATTACTACTTAGGTTTCATTGCAAAACGTTTCAGGTCAATGAGTATATAACTATCTCTTTATAATTTAAGTAGGAAATACAAAGTAATGTAAAAAAAATTAAAAGGAAAATTCTTCCATATGAAACACTCCAGCAAAAGTGACTTACCTTTCTCTCCTATCTCGATTGTCTCTATCTCTCTCGCGCCTCCTGCGTTCGCGTTCGCGTTCTCGCTCCCGCTCGCGTTCACGTTCGCGCTCCCGTTCACGACGATCGAGTGACCGACGGCGGCTGCTGCGGCGACGAGACTTGCTCCTGTCGCAGATGAAGGAAGTAAAAGAGATAAATTATAATACGATTATAACATCTGAAAATTGCACATCAATCATTCGTTGGCGCGGAAACTGTAAATAACAAGTATAATTATTTATTTAGTACCGTAATCTACTTAGCCGTGGTCCAACAGGTAAACAAGGAGTATAAGTAAAAAAATATAACTGAGCAGCACTAGTTGAGAGATGTTCTGAGGAATGGCAATTTATTTGATTTTTTTCCTTTGGTTTTTAGAAGTACCTGTCTCTACGTGAGCTGCGTCTGGGACTAGCACTGCCAGAAGAATCGCGATTGGAGCGATAATGTCGCTTCTTATGTGATGATTGCTTCTTGGCACTACCACCTGTAGAAAAACAAAACATCAATCAAGGTTTGTACTTCATTCGTGTAAATGTTGTTGTCACAAGTAAATACATATTTATGGTGGTTTTGAAGCCTTAGGATCGCATGAAATGTATAAATGGTTTTTATAACCATTCACCAAGCGATTCACCAAGGAGTATTCTGGCTGGGAGTTACTTAACATGCTCATTTGTTAAGCCTGTAAAACACTTGCAACTACGAAGTCATCTTCTAATTGCAATACTTACGCGATGAGGCAGAGGAGGATCGGCGGGCACTGGATGAACGGCGCTTTTCTTCGACCTTCTCTACAACCTCCTTTTCGGCAGTCGACCTAGGACACAATCACCAATGTCAGTTAAAAAAAATTAGCAATAAGAAACGATGGATCACAGAAAATATTTTTTTAATACAGTTGCCCGAAAACTTTCGGGGGCGGTGGAGTTTTTTTTTTAATATTATAATACCACGTTACAGGACGTACAAGTCGTGCGCCTGGTGGTAAGCGACATGCCTATAAATAACAGTTGCTGTGCCACTGCACCTGTCACCCTGAAACTTAAATTGACAAGTCCCATATGCCTGTAATTTCACCAGCACCCTTACCCTTCTAAACCGGAACGCAGTAATGCTCACATCTCTGCTTGGCGACAGAAATAAGTAAGGTGGCAGTACTTCCCTGAGCGAACTCTTTCACAAGGACCTCTACTGCTACTAAACTGAACTGAATACTAAACTGAAGGTTGCGAAAAGCGGTATTCTACAATAGAGTGGAAAAGTTAATTATTTCTCTTTTGTTTTGCGTGTCTTATTCCAGCGTGACCATGGTCGCGATTTTAAAATTTGACTAGTCAAATAAAAAGTCGCCACTTAGTCGGTTCTAGACTAGAACTAGATTTAGTTGGCCCACCGTCCAAAACTTATAAGGGTGTTTTACTATCCACGCTGAAATAAGCTTATTCCAGAACTGCTATTTCTCAATCTCGAGGACTACAACACCTAGCTTAGATCTGACTACATTAAAAAAGGCGTGATTTAGTCGGCTCTAGTCGTAAAAAACTAGATTTAGTCGTTAAGCCGTCTCAAAGTTATAAGGATGTTTTAAAAACCACACTGGAATAAGGTTATTCCGGCAGCACCATTTTTGGATCTCGAGAACCACAGCTCCTAGCTTAGATTTGATTGCACCCAGAAAAAGTCGCGATTTAGAATTTAGTCTTTACGGTTCTAGTCGAAAACTAGATTTTTATTTTTTTACCCAGATAAGCCTACTGTTCTACATATAGGTCGGTAAGATTAAAAAAATATATCTCTCTACCCACTTATACGGTTTTTATTAGTTATAACAATTCGTAACAAGGAATCTTATTAATATTGTAGTAAAAATTAAAAAACGCTAGGTGTATGTTTTTTTCTGAAATATTTCATCTAAAAGTGTACAATAATAGTAAGTTGCAGATACATCTCATAAAAGGTACGTACAAAATATTATAATTCACATTAAGATTACATTTTACAAAGGTTTTATATAGTAAAGAACTTTTGTTTCCTATCAAAATTATCGATTGATTAATGTTTGGTAAATAGTGGAAATAAATCGTCATAAAAGGGGGTGGTCTAAATATAGGGACAGTAGGCTAATATGGAAAATAATTTCTTTGCAGACCATTAGCAGCCCATGAGATATTAGATGCTTTAGAAAACATCAATGATGATGATGAAGATTACAGAGACAGGGAAATATATATTCTACCACCCCCCGTTGATCCCGACTGATGAAGATTCGGGGGAAGAGGATAATGTGACGCTAAATAACTTGCCCAGAAACATTACTTCAGGCTGCAGAAGTGTCTGTTCGTGGCGAAAAGAATATTTGTGATACTGTGCAAGAACCTATTATAAGTCAGACTAAGCGCAGGAGGATTTACATATGGAGAAAGCAAGATCTAAAAACATGTGCGCTGGAGTGGCCCCAGGTCCAAGGTGCTTTCCAAGATACACGTGCTATTAAGTGGTTCGAAACTTTATAGATTATAGATGTGATTTCCTTGTTGGTATCAAAGAGTAACATGTATGCCGTCAAAAAGAATATGCCAAGGGATATAACCGCTAATGAAATGAAATGTTTTATTGGCATTTTGGTCAATGGTCACGCATGGCTCCCGCGACGAAGAATGTATTGGGAAAACTCTCTTGATACAAAAAAATAGATGATCGGCTCAGCTATGACTAGGGATAGATTCGATTTTATTTTTCGCCACCTAGATGTAAATGAAACCTCAATCTGCAAGACAAATACACAAAATACCCACTTGTAACAATGTTGAATAAAAAGTTTTTGGAATTCTCTCCTCTCGATGAACACTACAGCATAGATGAAGCTATGATCCCTTATTATGGCAGCCATGGTTGCAAGCAGCATATCAAGGGAAAGCCGATCCGTTACGGGTTCAAGTCACGGGTTGGAGCTACACGGCTCGGATACGTGTCGTGGTTAGAGCCATATCAAGGTGCCACAACTATGTGTGACCCAAAATATAAAGAATTAGGCTTGGGTGCCAGCATAGTACTGACATTTTGTGACGTTTTGATTTCACGTGGATTTGATCTTCCTTACCACATTGTTTTTGATCTTCCTTACCACATTGTCTTTGCTAATTTCTGCTCTGGAACGCCATTGTTAGACGAGATAACTAAAAGGGGTTTGTGTTGTACTGGTACGATTCGAGAAACAGGAAGTCTAACTGTCCCCTTGTTTCTTCGAAGACATTGAAGAAAAAGGAACGAGGTGTTTTAGATTACAGGACCACCCATGACAAGTTCATTATCGCTAAATGGCATGATAACAACATATTCAGTATGGTTTCCAACGCTGTCGGAATACATCCCGTGCAATCTGCAAGACGGTTCTCCCAAAAAGAGAAAAGAAGAACATTGTCATAGAGGAACCACATATTGTTGCTACTTACAACAAACATATGGGAGGAGTTGATCAGTCTGATGAAAACATTTCTCATTATAGAGTTGGAATAAGAGGCAAGAAATGATACATGCCATTACTAACACACGTGATCGATCTTGCTGAACACAACGCATGGCAATTATATAAAACAACTCACGGAAAACTCGATCATCTAGGTTTTCGCAGAAGGTGGGTTGATCGAATCAAACAGAAAAACCGGAAAACGAGGGCCAAGTCGACTCTCTCAACACGAGCATGCTGACAGTAGAAAAGACCAAACTAATCACTTAGTCATTCCACAAGCAAAACAAACTCGCTGCCGGCAATGCCATAAAAAACATTGAACCGGTGCAAAAAATGTGATGTTGGAGTATGTGTCAAATGTTTTGAAAATTATCATTCTTAACAAAAAACAAGTTCGTTTATAATATCGACTGATTCACTCAATAAATACGTACAATAAAATAAGTTTTATCATTGTCAATATAATGCCTATTCTACTACCTATTATCCTACTAATATATAGGACGGGTCTTTCCCTGAAAGTCATGCACCGAAAATTTTTTTCAGGATTTTTAAAATATACTTTAAGACATTCAATTAAACAAATGCAATGTAATGTATGTCATGAAAAATAGTTTCAGGCTTATCTGGGTTAAAGTTATTGATGTCGTTTAGTACTCATTAGGTAACGTATTTTCGACATAAGTTCACAGATTTTTGATATCTCTTATATTTACGGAAGAATCAACTGGGCACTTAACGATTACATTCAACCTAAAATTGTTAGATAATAGTATCCAATCAAAATAATCTTATTAGTAGTGTAATATAAGTTTAGTTCACAAGTGTGAGCGTGTGGCGACACCGGTTTTTTTATAATGCCGCTTGATACCATTTCACATAGTTTGTTATTCCGCAATGTCAGTAAATAAACAATAAACGTACTTCGCCGGCGAAGCAGATCTGGACTTGGGACGTTCTTCTTGCACCTTATCTTCCTTGACGACCTCGTTGACGTCCTTGTCTTCTTTAACGACTTCATTCGTATCTACGCTCGGCTCTTCCTTCACTTCCACATCTTCTTTCGTCTCTGGAGACTTCCCGTTTTCTGCAAGGTAAAATACGTACCCAATACATGACCTAGTTTAAAAAAAAATAAGGTTCAATTTTAATTATCGAGCGAAAAGTGCTTAAACTCACGATATCTATACATGTACAGAAACACTAATTAGTACGTACATGATTTGATAACCGTATATATTTTACGCTTATTATGAAAAAATGATGATTTGTGTTCAAAATAATAAAATGTTCTCTAGCCAACTACTTACGATTTTCAACGACAGACTCCTGTGGCATCACATTGTCTGATTGAAACAAAGTATTGATATTTTTTTAATTTTAAATGCGAGTTTTTGACATGTCCACGTGAAATTTATTTACAGCAAGCGACATCTACTATTTATTACTAAAAAACCAATACATATAAATCTAGACTTTCTCCATAAACACTAAAAGCATTCAATGCAATTCAATAATGAGGCATTTTACGATCGTGAGACAGCATAAACAACATAATCGTCAACGCAACAAGCGTTTTTTTGAATTGAAAGTTATCGTTGACTAAAGAATGTCTTGTACTACAAATTACATAGTATAATAATAAAGAACTTTCACTACACAGAATATTATGCAAAGACGAACAAGTTACTTAATTTTTAAAAATCAACATAACTGTAAATTAATACTGGAAATAAATGGTATAAGTATCATATTCGTAGTGACGGTCCCTAGTATATTTTAATCATTTGTCATGAATCTGAAAAGTTCATAAATGCGTGTGCGTTTCAACTAGCACTTTATTGTTAATTGTGTCAAATACCTTTGGGTTCGGGCTTGCTTTCGTCGACATGTGATTTGGACTTGCTCCTCTTCTCGCGGCTGCGTCTCCTAGAGCGACGCGGGCTGCCTCCGTTGCGATGTCTTAAACAATATTTAAGTTATGATATTTTGGCTGATTACGCCACAACTTCACGAATTTGAACAGTACGGACCACAATCACACCATATTTTTGGAATAGATAAGGTTAACTATCCAATTTAACAGTTGCAGCTCACAAACGTAGCAACGCGACTTGTATGCTAAACATTCATTTCATTTTTTTATTTTGTTTTTCAACTAGTAACAGTTACCCCAGTACTACCCCACTGAAGGGCAAGGGCCTCCCTTCCCTATCTCCACTAATCACGACTAAACGCCGCTACAGGACTTTACAACAGCAATTACATACTTCAATCCGTAACTAGTAATAATAATGAAATAAATAAAGATTACTGGTTTTAACGACCAGAATAAGCCTCAAAAGTTTTGGCGCCATCGTACAGGGACCCTGGAAGGTGATTTAAATAGCACTCACTTCCTATCTCCCGAGCGGTCGCGCGATCTGGACCTGGAACGGCGTCGTTCCCGCGAGCGGCGACGAGACCGCGAGCGCGACCGCGAACGCCGGCGATCCTTCTTCTCGTCCTTATCTTTCAACTGCTCCTCCTGGAAATAAAAATTACTTTATACCACAATTCAATGCAACGATAAATAACAAAATTTTAACATTTGCTTGTCTCATATTAAAATGGCCAGAACACATAAAAATATTGATAAAAGTGTGTCAAATATGATTACCATTCGTTTTTTAATCTCTTCTTTCTTCTGCTGCGTGAAGGACTCCGGGATACCGTTCTCGCTGGCCTGAGCGCTGAGTAGAAGTTCCCACAGCTCGCCCATGAACAGACGCGCGTTCTTGCCGTTCAGGAAACCAGTTAAGTTGATCTGCATTTTCTTGGGACAAGGAAACTAGGAGCCGAGGAATTGGATCGGGAAAGAAAAAAAACTCTCATTATTAATCACGCCTTTAAATTGGCCGCATTACTGACCAAAGTTTTCATATTGGACTGAGATATCGAGAATTTCTGACTTTCATCTGTGGTTCAGAAATATATATTGATTTGTGAGTAAACATTTGGGATTGAGGGAATAAGTAAAATATAAATTTTAAAAGTCGGTAAAAGCGCCTGTAAAAAACACATTCATAAATTGTCTTAAATATTCGGCACGGACATGACTCGGGTAGGGAAGCGACACACATCAATGTTATGTACAAAGATTGTGATTAGTTTTCTTGGCGCGGACGACAGCGACGCGAAGCCACTGCGCCGACCGCGACACAGCGCCGCGGGGCGCGTCGCCCGCAGGGACGCTCAGCTTACACGCCTGCAGCTGCCGAACACGCACTGAAGACTTCTTCTTTCTTCTACTTCTTGCATCTGGAAGGGTTTTGCGAACACAACCACATTATGCTGAACACAAAGCCTAACAAAACTTCCATACCTCGAGTCAACACCTTCTTTTAACGACTTTCACAATTTCTTCACTCTCACTGTTTTGAAATAAGCTAGGGAATCCCACAGCACATGTTGTCTTATAAGAGTTAGCATGGCTTAAGTATTTAATTCCCCGTAAATACCGATTCAGTATGCTAAGTTGCCTCCGAAAGAGCGGAGTTGGAGTGGACAGCGGCGGCGGCAGGCGGCAGCTGGCGACGGCGGCGGCGGCGCACTAACCGGTGGTGGAACCATAAAAATATCCATACGCAATCAATTACATATGACACCATACTTCAATTGCAGTTTCTTTGTAAACAGTCTAAATCTCAGTTTCTTTACCGCAACAAAATTCATAAACATCAATCAAACTGTAAAGAAACTGCAATGATTACATTTTGATGGGAAAAAATTATGGAAATAAATTAGATTTAACCACCTTCTCCTCAAGTTGATTGTTGACATAGTCGATGACCACGTCATCTTCCATCTTCAGGATTTCAGTGATCTTCTGGGTGATCCATGGCTTTAGGATGTCCAGCTTCACCTTCGACATGTCCACCTGTTACGACAAATTACACATGTTTCGTACCTACAAGACCAACCTCATCAATATACTTTACAAAGTTATCATTATGGTATAATTAAAATCTTTTTCGCTTCATCAATCACAACCACACAACAATGTGGGGAGGATAAGCAGAATAAACAATTAAATTCTTTTAAGTCGTGGCAAATTAAAAAAAATGCTTTAGAGTACAATTAAACAAAAGAATAAGATCACATTATATATAAAGCTACAAGTTCTGACTCAGAAAAACAGAACGCATACTTCCCGATATGGTGGAAAGATAATTATACCCTTACACGCGAGTAGGCTCCAAAGCAAAGAATCAAATATGAGAAGACCTGAATGTAGAAAATATAAGAGTGACCGACGGTCTTCAAAAACTATAATACATGGGGGAATATTTGTGCACTTTTATAAACACCTTGGCTAATTCCTGCCGAATGTAAAAAATTATCGAAATTGAAATAAACAAGATGGCCGCCGTACAAATCTCAGTCTTCTATCACAGAAATTAGAGATAGGTAGGAGAGGCGCTAAAATGAATGTCATAGATAGTGATAGTGGTCAACTACGTGCGTCAAAATAATTCATGATGGCGAATTCAAAATGGCGGCCGAAGAAAAACTTGCTTCAATCCGGCTGAAAATTGGCATGCGAAGGTTACTACTTAATTCTAATTTGGGGTTACGTTTTTTCTCATATTTTTATTATAAGGCTGTCATATAAGGGTTTTTTCGTTAAAAGTAACTAGCACAAAAAAAAATACTTGCTCTGATTCGGTTGAAAATTGGCAAGTGGAGGCCTAATAAATATTTGAGGTCAAAATTGGTGTTTCGCCATTTTCAAATATGGCCGCCGTACAAGCGCTCGTAGGGGCAGAAAAAAATGTGCTTAGAAATTCGGCATGTGGGGTTCCGTACCGATGTTTGATCATAATTTGCGGTCAAAATAATTTTTTTGCCATTATTCAGTATGGCTGCCATGCAAGTTTTTTGGCGGCAGATAAAAATTTGCTAAACCGACTGAAAATGGCACAGCATGTATTCAATAATAATTTGGGGTAAAAATAAGTAATTTGGGATAGCCGCCATATAAGGGTTCTCTTTTTATTTAAATGGCTATTGAAAAAACTTGCTTTGCCCAGTCTGAAAATTGGCACGAAAAGATGTCTAAGATTGTCTGATTATAATATGTGGCCAAAACATATTTTTGCAATTTTAAAACATGGCCACCATAAAAGAGCAATTTTAATTATTTTAAATTAGTCATGAGTGCCGAGGCCATAGGCAGAAGTCCAGCTGAAGGAGAAGCCTGAAGAGTCCACAAACCACCATCATACGTAGGTAGTATACGGAAGCTATCTCACAATTGTTCAAAATGTAAGGCATACTTCCCGATGTAGTAGAAATGAGGTACTTAGCCTTTTTTGTGTCATTTCTTTGTTGGATTCCTTTTTCCTGGAAGCTATGCCAAAGTTAGGTGGGGATGAGAGCCTACATAGGCCCCATGAATGGAGCCACCCTAATAATAATAATTAAACATACACACATCCCAACTGTATTAGTTCCTGAGGGCTTTGTAAAGATGTGTGTGGTTGGTTTGGTGTGATGAAATATGACACCATTATGATTGACTTCTGAGTGTTTTTCAAAAACTCTCCCATCCATTCTAAAAATGCATGGTCAAATATAATTTTTTAAATGATTGTACAATATTACATTTTAAAAAGTTTTTTTTTGTTTAAAGTTAACTGGTGGCAAAAACTGTGCAGACCATTTCGCCTGTCCGTTACAACAACATGAATTTAAATATTACCGGCTGTGTCAAAGCATCCCCAAACTTCATTTGCTTCATCAGTTTCTTCTCCTTATCACTGAAGCGAGTGTCCTGCTCCGTACTGGTTCCCTGAAAACAACACTGGTTAGCTAATTTGACACGAGTTCACAAGTCCATTTTGTGTGTATCGTATGTCTAACCTAATTGCTGTCCTCTTACATCGTGGACATTGCTAGCTCAAAATTTTGAAAATAATTTCACATTAACAACTAGAAACCATTCAAGATATGCACCTTTAGAATGAATGTAACCCAATACAAAATTTCAAATTTTTGAAAAAATTCAAAATAAGTTTTGAAGTTGTGACATTTTATTTATATAGGAAATGAAACAATTTTTCCGGATTTAAATCGCGTATATTTGTTTTTTTTCAAACAAACCGACGTTTCGAAAAAACAAATATACGCGATTTAAATCCGGAAAAATTGTTTCATTTCCTATGTGTAACAATCGCGAAAACCTAAGAACTCGATTTTATTTATAACTCTTGAATTAAAGGCAATGGCCTTGTTACGGCGCGTGTACACGCTAAGAAATTCGTCGTGTCTGCAACAGAAAAGACGAGAATGGCCTTGTACAAGACAAGAATTTTGTCGGATCTAGCCAGGAAAATATATCGTGTCTGTTGCAGACAAGAAAATGATGAGTATGTACACGATACGAATGCTTTCGGGCAGGCGTGTGTAGGGTAAACGTGTCAGTGCACTTCCAGGTAGCTGTCGCTTTACTACCTACCGACAGTGTGAAGAAATATGTTGACTACTAATTAAAAAAAATGGTGATTGCAAATTATATGCAGAGAATAATAAATATTTCTCTCCATGCCTCAAAAGTACGTCGTTTATCTTTATAAATCTCTAAGGTTTTGTCCCACAAAACGGGTAGTTCCTTTACTAAACTTATAAATAAACCATGCATTTTATTAGTCGCAATAAAATTAGTGGTGCAACAGTGGTACTTTGCAAAATCAGTCCACGCGCATAAACGTTCGTTTACTGACAATGCAGCGGCAGAGCGCGTCGCGACGCCGAGGCTGTGTACACAGTTCGTGTGTAGAAACGACACGTTTTCTTACATAGACCCGGCGACTTTTCTTAGCGTATACACGCGCCCTGAGTCCTAGAAGATAATGATGAAACCTTCAGCTTTTATGTCCTCAAAATATATTTCTGGTTAGTTTAATATACTTAACAATTTAAAAATATAATTTACAAAAACTAGTCACTATTAAGTCACTTTTTTACTGAACTTTTTTGTTCACATTTGAACAAATAAAAATTATGTCATGTTTTCACCAGCTAAACAAGATGATTATGATCTTATCAAAATTAAGCCATTTTAGTTGCGAAAGATAGTCCTCTAAGTAACAAAGTATGCGTATTATTTGTAAAAATTTTAAGATGATTTTCGGGACGAAATTAGCTCAATTGCTAATCCGTCACTGTTTCACCAATGGTACACGGTAAAAACAGATTACTTAGAAAAAGACAAAATTCTTTTTATGAAGACAAATTTATTAAATCCAACAAAACGATTCTCTCCCTATAGACGCTAGAGAATAATTACTTGATAATAGTAAAAAAACGTCTCAAAAGTGTATTTTCGTTACAAGACAGAAATATTTAATCCAAGAGCAAATTAATTTACTTCAAGTCACAAAGCCACTCTAGATTCAACAAAATATTTATTTGTTATTAGAAATGTCCGATTTTGATTTGAAAAAAAAATAGATGAAAAATTGAGAGGTACTTAATTATTTGACTGAAGATTTATTGTTTTCTAATATCAAAAAGGATAAATTTACAGGGTTATGGACCCAACAGTGCCAAACCTTAAAGTAGCAGAAATAGGATGGAAATATGGAATCTTCTCAAATACTTGAGGACCATCCAGTGCCGTATAAATGCTACAGCGGCAGAAAGCACTAACAATTCTAACTATATGAGATGACTTTATACTATTGAAGTTAACAAAACGATAGCGCGTTTCAGAGTACATCTAATGCCATCTAGCAGTGGTGTGATGGAACTAATTGCATGTTATGCTTTTTACAAGTGTAGTTTGATTTCATGCTGTAACCAAATTTCTTAAATTATGACTATAAAGAACACCCTAACAAACTAGAGATACTACGTATTGTTTCTTTGGATAAATGACTGTTTATGATTTTTATGATTACAAGCACAAGTAAAAGTAATCGTTACCGCGTGCGCCTTCGGCGACATGTCACGACAAGATTGACTATGAAAACGCAACGAAATGTTGCTTTAAGAATATACTCTAGAATTTAGAATATTAATCTGAATAGAAAACTACTTCTTTTTTTGTTTAAGAATATATTTTCTTAAAATACACCCAAGAAATTTTGAATTCATTTAAGATTATTTAAATTTGATGTAAGAGGTAAAAATTTCTTGATATAAGTAATGTCCAATTAATTGATTAGAAATGAAATAAAATCTTGAAGTGAACGTATTTGTCTCAAAGTTAGAATAAAGTTAAGAGTAAAATTGTATTAGAAAAAGATAAGCAGTATTTTTGTAGTGACAATATTTTATTACTTTTAATAAATATTTTTTCAGAATTAGCAAATATTTTGAGAAATTGCTCTTTCTTATTAGTAGAAATCCTTTTTTTCTGTGTAATAGTGTATAACCTTTGCAGGTCCAGATTCGGTGTTTATATACCGATGCGAGAAAGAGACTCATATAGAAGTCTGTGCCATTCGAACCTTAATTAGTGATTTACATATTAACAATCTAATGAACAAAGATTTTAAAAATAACTAAGTATAAACTCACTTTTGTAATTTTTTGAATTAGGTAAATTTCATTGTAAAGGTGCGATGTGGACGTAGTTATAATAAAAAGATCCAAGTCACAATTGGTAAGTTTCGAGAAAATGGAAGATAAAGTTATCGAAAGTTTAAAATTTTAAGTGCTGCTAGAATTCTCAACCGATCTTCATTTTTTTCGTCAAATTAAAGTTTTCACTACATAATTTCACATCAATTACCCAAATTTCATAAATTAATGATTAAAGTACTTTTTTTTTAAAACTAGGACTTGAAACATTTTTATTTTGAATGGCAAAAAAACTTTTGCGTTCATTTTTCATTTTGCAAAAGTGATCCAAAATGTGCAAAACTGTATATTAATTGTTTTATTTTAATTAAATAAATATAATTGCATTTTTAAGAATTCTAGGGAATCTCAGTTTATTGTCCTATATTTTGAACTATAATAACACTACATTCCAAGATAACTTTATCATTTTCTACAGTAATAAACATTGCATACTTAACCCAGATTTTTTCGCGAAAAATTTCAACTTTCTGACATTATTCAGATGCCGAGTTCTTAGGTTTTCGCGACTATCATATATAGGAAATAAAACTATTTTTCCGGATTTAAATCGCGTATAAATGTTTTTTCAAACAAAGCGGCGTTTCGGATAATTCAGAATGTTTTACAGGGTTGAATAATTCAGATGCATTAAAATATATTTAAAAATTATTTTTCAATTTTTTATTGAATTGATATTCAATTATTTTTTTGTGAAATTACTCCACTAGTTTCTTATAATTATTAATACAAAGATCGAACACTCAGAAAAAATTCCCTCGATCCGACCGGATTCGAACCGACGTCTTCTAGCTTATGTTGCCAGACGCTATACCAACTAAACCACGGAACGAACCAGCGGACCTCACGAATTTTTCTATGTGCTTGGGTCGTGTCCTTGTAGTCGTTTTTCAACGACTTTTTAGTCGTAGCGCCAGGTATAACGTCTGACACGGTAAACTAGAAGACGTCGGTTCGAATCCGGCCGGATCGAAGGATTTTTTTTTGAGTGTTCGATCTTTGTATTAATAATTATAACAAATTATTTTCTTTATTTTTTTCTCAATAAATCGAAACCTAGTTGCTCCAAGTATTACTTTATTTAAAAAAGCTGAGTTATTTATTTATCCAAGTCTTAAAAGACTTTCCGACATAGGCGCCGCAAGTAATGTTTTTTCGGAACTAGTTTTAAATTCTTGCTCTACTCTTTATTAATTTGAGAAAGATTTTGTTACGATATTGTTAAATTTCAGCCACATTAACCAGAATCCTTATTTGAACATAACTGATTGCATTACTTTTAATGGGTTTGCTTTTTCTACACGTCTTCATAATATCCATAATTCTTTGACTGTGTGAAGACGTTAGACGTGTTTCAAGGCTACTTAAATTTTTCAAAAATCTGTATCATGGGGCAAAAATGCATGCCCAGGTTCCAAATAGCGACAGCGAATCGTTTCTAAGGTCGGATAGATGTCCAGAGCCACATTTAGCATCAATACCAATTTAATATTCCTATTTCCTAGGTTATTGTATGTATGGGTAGAAGGTGAGGCAGGTAGAGAAGCACAGGAAGTTGGCTTGTGTCTATTGTGGCACATTAATAACGAATTGGCGGTGGGCACCAAAGACCTTACACTATGGAGCATGTTGAAACATGTGCAATGTCTTTACATAGTCAAAGAATATTTGGATATTATCAAGACAAGTCAGAAAGCAAACTCATGGAAAGTAATGTGAATTACATCAAATAGGTTCGTGGGAACTGTGCACATAGGAAAGGGGTATAACTAATCAAAAAGAGTTCAAAAATAAGAAAAAGCAAATTGTCTTGCTACAAAAGAAATTTTACTGAAAAAAGATGAAAAAATATTTTATTTAAGCACAAACAAATTTTGAGGAAAATGATTAGATATTTAGCATACAGAAAACGATGAGAGGTAAGCGAGAGGGAGCGGTCGCTCCATATTATCATAACAGTGGATAGTTCAACGCCACTATGGCCAGGCGATAACTTAGGCTCACCTTTTCCCAATAGTTAATATGTAACAACTGTTTTTGTTTATTATTTCTATTATTATTGCTATTTTAAAATTCTACATTTTTTAAGTAACCAATGTTTAGTAAGAATGATCCAAAGTTGAATGGCTAGTTTGATTTTACCTTAAAAAATAGCCAATATGATCCAAGTTATTGTGTTTCAACAGTCTAAACGTAACTGGAACATGTTCCTATTAAAAGAAAAAATCCAAATGATCCAAGTTACTTTGAATCCTATTATTCCTTCAAGATTTAAAAAAGCCAAAACTATACAAATTACTTTGGAGTATTTTGTCACAAAACAAATAATACACAAAATGATTCAAGTTTATTTGAATTTTATTGGCCATCATATTTGAAAATTGTGCTTCATACTTATAATTTTTTGGCATGAAAGGATAGGGTACAGTGAATCACGTAGTATGCTTAACTCGTTTACGCCCTAAGTGTGACTTGGATCTTTTTATTATAACTACGTCCATATTATCCATATATATGACGATTCCAACTTGGTTATTGAGATTAATTAGTTGCCTGTACCTAGGTTTGAGTGCTACATTTAATTGATTGATAAGAAATTGCAGTAATTTTTGTTAGATTATTATTTAATGATTTGTCTCTGAATTAAGTAACATTACAGCAGTTAGCATGCGTGGAATTTTTTTTCGGTGTACAATATAACCTATATCGCATAGGTTGTACTCGTCACAGTTGCGAGGACACTCATTTTACAGCGTCACAATCGAAAACTATAATTAGATTACTTAATTTAATTAAGTAAAGACTACGAAATACCCTATATACGTAATATGTACATGTCGTATAACACACAAGATGCAAGTTGTGTTATCACAACGCAATGACTGACGGCTTGGGGTCTGGAAATCGCCCACGCCATCACCATACATATTTCAACTTTGCCAAAAGAGTCAAAATGGGAAAAACGATATTTTAACAATCAAACTCACCGTATACATCATCATCTTGAAAGGATTTTAAAAATCAATAGCGTGCAAATCGTGGGGGCGAACCACCCGCGATACAGGCGTGAGGACGCCAACGCTTGGTCTACAATATCTCGCCGAATAAGATACCGATGTAATCACAATTCGAAAGTAAGAAGTTCTATTCCGCAATGTGTTTAAATACGTATCAAAATGGCATTTTCTTGTTCACAGTTCACAATGAACAAAATCACAAATCTGCACCAGCGGCGAAACGTGAGCAGAAAACCGCCATATTATTTTTTTACTTTTTAAATAAAGTTGCCAGTAGAGGTGAAAGTTAAATAAAGTCACTATGAAAACATCACAGTGATCAAGTGATTCACCGTGACTTTTTACGAAGAAGGAACGACGCGACGCGACGTTCCAAAATCACATGGGTTGTTCGCTCCGATCCATTCACGTCACAACATACAACGTATTTTATAAATCATGTGCGATCTTCGATTTTTATAGACTGGCGACTGCGGTATTCATTGTAGTTCGCTTTTATTTTTAAAATGCAATTATTAACCAAGAAACAATTTTATTAGATCAGTGTAAATATTGTGAATTCAAATAAAATACTTGTACAAAACTGATCCAAAATAATAAACACGCCGCATCGTCTTATTAACGAATAATACAAAAATCCTCTAAAACTGTGAGTGAAGGTTATTGCGGATCAATTTTTCAAATGAAAAAGAAGATGCATCAAAGTGGTAACGTCAAGTGGTAAGTCATGTCATAAGTTATGATATTTAGCAATTTATTGTATTGGAATGACAGCTGTCAAACGCAACATTTGTATTTCTCATTAATCTTACTAATAAAATAAG